ACTCTTTCTCCAAATCCTTCAGGACTTCCCCAGTGTTAAATTCAACTCTTTGGATCAGTGTTGACCAGCAAGTTCCTTCCATAGTCTGAAGTTCAAAGAACCCCAAACATCACCTTTCCGCAGACTGTAGCTGCAGAACCAGGTGCCCATTAACTCATGCTAGGCACAGGCCCAGAATGGTATGAGATTTAAGGTGAGACAGACCTTGTGTATTGCCTGAACCTCTGAAAATGAAAAAAGGGAAGACTCAGGCTCTCTGAATGTCAAGCAAATTATTTATATAATGATAATGAGACATATGGTCTCTGTAGAATATAAGCACTGTACTTCACAAAATGGGAGCATCAGCATGACATACCAGTACCGCCCTCTCATCATACATGCATCATAATAAAGTCATGAAAAGGTTAAGTGGAAGTCCTGATCCCTGGGGAGGACAGAGTTGGACAGATGACAATTTAATCAGTTTCCCAGCCGGGAGAAGGAGCCTGATGTGAGCGCACCACGTACCACAGCGGCTCCAGATACCCCCGTCCCATCAGGCTTATCCCTGCTGCGATCCCACAGGGGCACAATTCGGAAGCACTGTCCCGTGTTGCCGCACCACAGAGCTGAGGACAGCCCACGAACGGTGGGGAAACCCTAAATCACAGCTCAGATTCGTCTGAGGGATAGATCAAGGATGTATTTTTCGTATTGGTAATCAAAGATATAAATTGATAGGGAGTACAACTAAAATTGACCTATGGAACCCAGCCTCACAGCCAATTTTGTCACCTGCATTACTGATGCGTTGCATGCGGACTCCCGGCACGCCATTTTCCGTGGGCTGGAAGCCATATATCTACAGTAACTGCATGTCGTGAAACACGACTTGTAAAGTGTCACTAGTGCCTTAAAGATTCAGTAAACAAGAAAATGCATCCTGAAGTCAGAACTGTATCCTATGAAACAAATACCAGGAGCATGATTTAATACAGGAGAAGGAAAAGCGTAGACAAAGGAAGCTCTCCCCTGCCACTGCCTCAAGTCCCAGGGCTGGGTCACAGGGAACAAGAAAGAAGCTCTAGTAATGGGCAAGTAAACATAAACTGAACCAGGGCCAACTGCTCCCGGTGTCCCCAGAAGCCACCTCAGGCCGTGGATGGAGGCGCTGTGACCCCCGGGCATAGGTGCAGTCCAGCACTGGGCTTCCCACTGCCTCAGCAAACCCGCAGACTCGGGCAACGCAGGGCAATCTGCTCCCTTGTTTCAGAACTTTCCTTTCGAGCCGCTTTTAGCTCTCACTCAGCCACCTGCATCGGT